TTATTTTACACAAAAAGGAGATTGGCATCATCTTATTGTAGCATACAACTTTTTATCTAGTTAGGTTCTCAGTAATGGGGCTTTTCTATTTGAAAGATCATGGATACCCATTCGCTTTCCACTTGAATCGTTAGATAATTTGATACCATAAAAATGAAAACGTTATGAGTCTATTTTGAATGTCCCTTCTATAGCATTTTTACGTCACAAAAAAAAGTACAGTAAAAAATTGGAAAAATATAATAATAAATTATATTTATTGTATATACTGTTATAAATACTAACAGTACTTTTTTTCTGACGTATGTATATATATATATATATATATATATATATATATATATATATATATATATATATATATATATATATATATATATATATATATATATATATATATATATACGTATATATATATATTACATTTTGTCGATTCAGAACATTATCGATAAAAGCTTTGAGCTACAGATCATTATTAAAGAAATTATTTCTATTAATTAAAGTAGATTAAAACGGACTGTCTAAATACCCAATACAAATTTTAATCCTATTGGTCTTTCTGATTTAATTACAAAAAGAGATATTTAATAAATGAAACGAAATATTAGCGGACTTAATTGAAAGGCTCTGGGAGCCATTAATACCATAGGATTTAAGCTCAAATAGAATATTCACAAAAAATAAATATCAATAATGTATAAAAATTATTATTGACAATGCAATATTTAGGAATTGGTATCTGAATTAAAATACTAATTTATGATACTCAATCGATATGTATCATAATGAATAATATAATTCACTAATCGATTTACAAGTCCACTTACACGTAGAGGTCATTGAAAAATATTAGACCCATGTTCCGACGTTCGTTCGATTGAGGCGAGAAAAAAAATTGTATATAGTTTTGTATAAATTTATGTAAATTTGTTTCTCTATAGTTTGCCTGAAAAGTTTGGTTATTATGTAGCAATCGATTTCCGTTTTGTGTGGAATAAGAAAAACATATTGCCTATAGTATCACATGGTAATGTATCACTAACGGATCCAGAATTTAGTTTTGGGAGGAGAGGCTTCAACCCGAAAGATTATTATTTTTTAAAATATAACTATATTTACTTAGAAAGAAAAATAAATAAACTAACTACCTATATGAAATAGAGTTTAAGTGATTCTTTAAGTACTATTAACTGTAATTACACGAACAACAATATTTTTAGAGGTAATTATAAAATTTTATTTTCATAAGATATGGTTATATTTTACCATTTTAGAGGAGAGAGGAGAGGTTGCTTCATCCCGAAAGCCCATCCCGTAGATCCGCCTGTGTAATGTATCATAAATTATAAAAACCAAAAGACGCTTCGAGTAAAAAAGTTCGGGTATATTTTCGCTATAAAAAGTTAGATTCATTTTTAATGTTATTTTATTACGACCAGACTAAAAATAAAAGATTCCTACATTTGTTTATTTGATGATATAAAATAATTTCTTTGTCGGCCCCTCGGTCCCATTGGAACGTGCGCTGAGATATGTGTCTAATATTTTTCGATGTAGTCTATCAAAAAAAAATAAAAAAAAAAAATGGAGGGCAGTGACAACAAACCGTGAGGATGTTGCCCCACTGCCTTGTATTGTCGGAAGAAGAAGGAGCCTCATAAAAAAAACATTTGGTTGAAATCGATGACCTACTGGCGGTGTACCTTGGAAGTCAGTACCTTTGGAGAGGAAAGAAGATATATTTTAATAAGGTAACATCTAATCAAAGTAAAATTATAACCATGTAAATAAATTAATATTTAAGATATCTCTTGCTTTTGATGAAAAATATGCTCAACCCAATCAAAAATAACAGGCTGTATAAACAAAGACTGGTCAAATGCGTGAATCTCAAGTAACACGTAAATCCTATTTATTGCTTAACAACAATGTATTATCTTTTGAGAACACTAATCTAAGTTTAATTAGCAATAAAGCGATAGCACAAAAGCTTGTACTTGACAATTGAAAATCTTGAAAAAACAAACTGACGGTATTTTACGAAATTCCTGCTATTTTAAGACATTATTGAAAAAAATCTAGTTTAGCAGCCAAGGTGGCTCGTGAAATCAACAACAATGAAGGAGAAGGTGTCCTTGACGAGCGAGTCGCGCGCCGTTGGTTTCAGAAATTTTCTAGAGGAAGGAAGAAAGGAAGAAGGAAAGGAAGATTTCTAGTGGAAACGAAGAAGGACTCAGGGCGATCATCGCTCGAGATTAGTGTTGCCTATATGCGAGACCGAGACGAGCAAACAGAGTCTTGGTCTTGCGCAAGAGTCTCACAACAATCCTGCAATTACTTATTATCCTATTGCTATAGAGATATTACTGTAAATTTTAGATACAAGAAACCTAACTAAGCACGAATGAAAAATTAGAGGAGATAAATGCAAATGTATATTGGTTATACCAATTATTAACATGTAGTAACTAAGATTGTCAAGTATTAGTAGCTATTTTGCCTTAATTTTTATTTAAAAAATCTATTTTTTGAACTAATTCTGATCTTGGTTTTGCAACAGTTAAGCGGACTTGGCCTTGGTCTTGCACTTTGCACTTTCCAAGACCAAGACCGATTTTAGCCAACACTACTCGAGATTGATGAGGTTCTTCATCAAGCTGTAGTATCAATTCCCTGATGATCTTGCCAAGAAGTAAAAAGGCACTGCACCTGCTTACTCCCAAACGAGTCGTTGAGAGGGTGGAGATTTACAAAAATCATTTAAAAAATCTTCCCAATTTGCGATTTTACCGAAAAATTGTGACTTATGATGAAAAGTAGGTTTGCTGGCGAAATTCTGATAATTCAGCGCAATACTTAGATCGAGGTAAAACGACTTTTCTTGCTTTACGGGAAGGGATCAGTTGGAAAAAAATATCAATGCTTTGCGTTTTTTAGAACTATGAAGGAGATATCCATCATAGATTTATTAGTAATGGTCGCGAAATACACTCTGAACTCTATTGCAAACGATTACACAGAATATGGTCTAGCTTTTGTCAACCGAAAAAGAGTTCTGTTTCAGACAGAAATTTTAAAATCTTGATAGTATCGAGCTTCTTCCACACTCACCGTACATTCTAAACGTTGCTCCATCAACTTATAATTTGTTTTGATCCATGGCCCACTTATAGAGAGGGTAAAAAAATTTATTCATTTCATGAAATCGAAACAGTGGTTCAGGAATTTTTCGATAGCCAAGCAATTGACTGAAATATGGAAAACGGCATGTCACCATGATGGGTAATATTTCGAATATTTTTTTCTTTAAATATTTATTTTAAACTTGTGTCAACAATCAGCAAATGTGCTAAAATACGAGGAATAACGCACGGAGAAAGAGAGTAGTTACCCAGCAGCACCTCTTCACTGGCTTGATTCAATTACTTAGGTCGTTTAAGAAAGGATATCTCTCATCCAACGCCTTTTTAGTCTCTTGTTCATATTCAGGGATATGTCAGATGTTGCCATGTCCCTTATTAATCTGATAAGTCCGTTTAAATTTGTATGAAATCGTTGCTAATGGGTCGTTATATGTTGGTCAACAGTTGGAAGGTGGAAGTCAGCGAATAGAGACTTTGTTAGTAACGTAACAATGTGATTTTGTTATGAGTCAAGATCATTTTGATTGGAAGGTTTGAAGTTTTTGTAGATGGGCCTTTTTAGCAATACCGTATATTTGTGAAGAGTGTGTCCATTTTATGTATATATGTAGGTTTAAGTTAGTATACATATGTATTCAGTTTCTGTCTCAGTGTCAGTTTTGGTGATTTAGAAAAATGAGGGTAGAGTAATTTGAATATTAATTTGATGTTAGTCAATGAATCCAAATGTAAACATATAACTTTTAACCTTCGTCGTAATTCCTGCCCATCAGTTTACTTTAATTCCATCCAGCTTCAGTTCTCCGACCCAGCTCCCACTTGGTTTTCTCCTAGACAGACGACTAAGGTGGAATCCGCATACTAGACTGAAAAGACAGGATCTTAACCGACATTATGGCCAGCTATATAGACTACTTAGTAAAAAATCTAAACTTTCCATTGAAAACAAATTACTCATCTACAAGACAATACTAAAACCCATCTGGACCTACGGACTAGAACTGTGGGGGACAATCAAATTTTCCAACATCAAACGCATTCAATCCTTCTAGTCTAAAGTCCTCGGTACAATAGTCGATGCTCCCTTCTATGTCACCAATAAACCCTGCATAATGGCCTTAATATTCCATTTATTCTTGATCTTATCCAAAACAAATTCTGTGAATTTCATCAGAACCTTACCCATCACCCTAATCCCGTAGCACAGTCCCTATCTAGCACCACCCCGTTTTAACCTACGAGGAGGATTGTAGACGGCAGTGGTCCCGTGATCTTTTGTAACATGTATATATTGGAGTTTTGACAATGGCCAGATCAAGTCATGAGTATCTGTGGTTATCTTACTCAGCCTCCGCTGCCTTTTAATACCAGTGAAGTGGTTGAGGAAGAAGTGCAGGGATCTCCTGAAGCCTCGCTTTTTCCTCAACAAGTAGGGGGAACAAGTCTGGTTTGGAGTTCCCATGACCGATTGTAAATAGTGTAAACAGGTACTCCTGCTTCTAAGATGTTATTTTAATTTTATTATTACTATTATTTTTTTACTTATTTTATTTTTCTATATTTCATTTTCTTTATTATTCTTAGTTATTATTTGTATGTACATATTGTGTGAATGATTCATGTAGCCTTAATATCAATGCCCTTTAATGTGGCAGAATGTATTAATATTCAATATATAAAAAAAAATGTTATATTAAAGAAATAAATGTTTTTTGAAAAACCGCAATTTTTTTATACAACCTATACCATAACGGCCTAGTTTATATGAGGTAACTCGCTTTACAGATTAAAACAAATATTATCGTGAATATTTCTAATTAATATAAACAAATAAAAGTTTACATATTGAGGAAGCTCCTAGGGAACACGGGTCAGCTTCATTACTACCGTCACCTTTTTATTATCAGAGGATAAACCGATAAGGGCATAGAAACCTACAGATATAATCTTTAGGGCGCAAGGGAGGTAAAAGGGCTCAGGTCCTGGGCCTGATATAATGAATGGACAAGATTAGGCTCTTACACGAACCCTGGCTCACCCTCTTACCAACTCACCTTTCTTACCCTTACAAACCCTGCCCCTATAGCCGAGCGAGGAAGAAATCGGGGATGAAATGGCTCCTAAAGCCATATTACTATCGTACTAATAATATATTCCACTCAGCTTCAATTTATTTTATTTTTTTTTCATGTATAGAACTAATATTCTCTATTGATTGTTTATTTATTTATTTATATTATTTATATTTATTTCTCTATTTTATTTATATACTGTTCGAATGAATACCTGTGATCCTAATTCTCTTCAATGTGGCAGGTTGTATAATTACCCAATAAACTCATTATGAAAAAAAATAATTATGATATAAATTTCTTTTCAAGGACATTGAATTGGTTTTCCATTTTTTGAAAATCATCAGGGGTCTCCAGAAGGGGCTTTCATGACACAAGCTGCATCATACTGCAAAGTACATTTTAAAGTGATATTTAACTTTTAAGTGGGGCACACTTTGGTGAGGTTATGAATTTTCGGAATGAAAAGTTTCAAACAAAATGATGGAAAGAGAACATGAATCTAGTGTATTTATATAGAATCTGCGAATTTTTATATTCGACTTTTGTTTTCAATTTTCAATGTTTTTAAGAAGATCCGAGCAATAAAATGTCTTAAGAGAGGAGGAGAGGTTCATTCACAATCGACCTTGGGGAATGAGGATCTCTGAAAATCATATCTACTAATTGTATTACTTCCGCACAACTATAATAAACATGTGTAGGAAGGAAAAGTATTGCCAAGTTTCGTTTTTGTTTTAGGTGCACTGAAATCAAATATACAAGATTCGCAAAATGATTAGTGTGTGAACAGCCTAGCTCAAAAAACGAAAAGTCTTTAGATATTTAAATAACTTATTAGAGGTAGTCTGAAATGATACAGCAACTTTTCCGCCAAAATACATATTTTTATAATTTTCTCAATACGGTTCTAACGATTTTGATTAAACTCCTTACATCAATGTATAATTAAATGAGGTTTAGTATCAACTAGTTCTTATCCTCATTTTATCGCCTGACAGTGCTTAAATGTTTAAAAATATGTTAAAAAATGTCTACCTTTGAAACTTTAATTTTATGTTTATTAAATAATTACCTGTCTCTCATTGTTAGTATTAATAATATCCATAAATGAAAAAGACATGAGCATGTGAAATCTATAATTAGCCACCATTGCTCAATCCGCTTTATCTTCAGGATCTCAAGGGATACGCATATTACCCAGTTCTACACCAAGTTGAAGTGGCTTTATCCGTCCTACCGCCGTCAATATTTCCTTGCTACCTTCCTATACCAAGCCATTAGAACACGGCGACCTGCCTATATTCTACAGATCCTACAATTCAAACGCTCCTTTCAATCCCATCCCACCAGATCCCGTGCGTCCGACCTCTATCCTCCCCCTCACCGAACTGCTGCATTTGATAAATCCTTTTTAATACAAGTTGTCTCCCTCTGGAACTCTATACCTTCAGATATTCGACACGCAAAATCGATATCCTCTTTCAAATCTCTCCTCTTCGAACACCTACTCCATTCCCAATCCGATTGATCACGAAATGCACTTAAAAACCTAAGCTGTAAAAACCTCAAAGTACACCCAGATACTCTGATTATTTTGTAATTCATCGATATTTCGTTCACTTAATTACTTTCTTTGTATATTTTATATTTACACGTATTTATATCTTTTCATCATTTATAACTTTATTGTACTCCGAATCAACCTGTAAATATTAAATAGTATTTCATGGACACACCAAAATATTGATATATATTCTGTATTTGTGACTTGTTCTAAAGGGACACTAGTCCAAGGATAATAAAATTATTTTCATTCATTCATTCATTTATGAAGAAATTTTGATCGATTAGAGACTTATAAAAGGCATGAATGAAGAAGAACGAATGGGTAAATTTTGAAACATAAATTCGAATTTTGAGTGGAGTTATTTATTTATTTTTTATTAGCCGAACAATGATTTATCATAAAGAATAATTACCGAAATGTAAAGGATATGTGAATTTAATATTTGATGTAAATTACCAAGTCATTAAAACTGTTAAATATGTATTTACTTTTAGGGCACTTAGACTGAGGATGTAAATTGCATGTTAGAGTTCGCATACGTGTGCTATAATTTATTCACTCACGGCGGGTTTAATTCAGAGCTCAGCTCTAAGCCATCTCGTTGGAAATGTTATATGTTATGCATCCTCCTACGAACGATGCTTAATATATAATACTGTCTATTTACGATTATATAACTTAAAGTACTTACATACTTTATGGAATTAAACAGCTTCTTAAAAAATAAGAAATATTTAGGAAGATAAAAATTTGACTAAGAAAACTTAATGATGTAACCAGGACTATATCTCAAAATAGGGAACATTTTTACTTACCCAATAACGTAACGATGATTTATTGTTCAGTTACGTAGATCTGTCACTGAATGGTGTTAATGATATGGGGACTTGCAAAAAATCTGTTCAATATTCCATTGTTATATGGACATCAGTATTACTTAACGCTATATTCACAGGAACTGCAGAAGGAGAAGGAGGGAGGATGAGGTTTATCTTTAAGATATGGACGATCCAATTGGGTAAGACAAGGTGGAGTAAGTGGTTATTCAAATCCAGCTGAGAAATGCTTCGGTGGAATTGAAATATTGTGAGTGGAAACAAAATGGTGAAATACTACTAAATGCTTTTCCGAAAAAATTGGGATCTCTAGACGTTATCACAAGAATGTAAAACAGTATTACAATCCACTATCACAAGTAAGGCAGTAGAAAACAGAAGAAAGTGGATGTAGGAACTGTAGACCAATATGCCTCTCCTTAGAACCAGATATATACTGAAATGAAATATACTCTCGAAATACGGAGATCTGGGCTGCACAGATATACCAAGTTTCTAAGAAAGAGGATAATCTTAATATGTCATATAATGTTTTTATGAATGAGAAATAAAAGGTGTGTAAAAGAATTACTTGAAGAGCAGTTGTAGGATATTGGAATTCAACTCACAGGAAGAGCTTCTGTCACTTTAGTTGAATGGAACGAAGAATTAATGCTAACAGGGCTGCAGATAAATCACCTATTTTGGAAGAAAAAATATGGATCCTAGGATTTAACGGTGTGGTAAACACAGCATGCAGCTAACTGGAAAGCACTGGGCCAAGATAGGTAGAGATGGAGAAGATTCGTTAAGGCGATCTGCAAATTTGTAAAGTCAAAAGAAAATTAAAATAAAATTTCATTTTAAAAATTATTTATTAATTTCATTGTTAAGGAAGGAGATCTCTCAAACAGTCATTTATCAGTCTCGACTTTGTATTGATGAGCACGTCAGATGAAACCCAGTCTCTTATTAGTTTGTTAGTATATTTGTTTAAGTCACTATGAAATCGTTTATAAGAGTTCTTATGCGCTGTTCAACTGTTGGCAAATGGAAATCATTACGTAGGATTTTGTTAGTCATGCACCAAGGTTCTTTAGTTATGAGTCGTAATATTTTTGATTGGAAAGTTTGTTTTAGTTATACCGTATAACTTAGAGGAGTATGTTCATGTTGCTTAAAGGAAAAATGTTATTTTTCTGTCAAAGTCCTAAGAAAGTGTACAGTGTCCGTCTGAAGAGTTTGGTTGTTTTCTATTTTAATTGGAAGGCACGTATGTTTCGATTTTTCGTGATTTATTCTAATTTTCCATAATTTTTACCAGTTCTATCATTTATTTATGTGATGTAAAGTTAGTAAGGCTTATGTAGGATCTTGATATTTTGCTAAAACTGTTGTGACGTCGGTATAAGTAGCAGTCATTAATTTTATTTTTTTAAGTAAATTAATTGATATTTTTTTCAAAAATAAATATATCAAGTTGGACCTAAATTTCTTCTATGAAAATATTATGACAATCATGAAATATTTACGCTATAAGAATGTTTTATATTCATAGTAAAATATGTAGTTACAAATATTCTCTTCAAATACAATAATAAACAACTCGTCCATAGAAGAACGCTGCCACACAATACTGCTCATAAGTGTTATTTTCGTGTCTTGTATAGTGTTTATGATATGTGATATTAATTTTTGTGAACGAGATTATATAGATATAAATATATGGATATATTACCTATTGCCTCATCGGCTACATTGATACAGTCTGAGAGGGTTAGGGACACTATCCGCGGAGCCAGGCAAGACCACAGTCCCGCTTCGGTGATCTCGTTGCAGCCTGCTAGCTCCAGCTCGTACAGGCCCTGCGAACACAAAGGATATGTTATAAAGAACATTTTAATCATTAAAAATTGCATCGGTAGAATAAAATGAAAATATCAAAATAAATAATATATAAACTAATAAATCGACAAACAATCCCACTGTTGCAGAAAGAGAAGAATAGTTCTAAAAAAACATATTTGAAGCTATGCATATGACACAGAAATTAAATAATGAGTATCATGAGTCCCCAACATACAGACATAGAGCTGCCTGTCAATCGGGACAGAAAAAAAAGATCACATAAGCAGAAAGTGAAAAAAAAAATCATCAATCGTGTTTATGGAACCTTCTATTTTCTTTAGTATGGCATGGTGAGATCTCTATTCTTTCTGCATATACAGTGGCTCAAAATGAAGTTGATAAAACCCATAGAAAAATTAAAAATTAAACTATTACAGTAAACAAATAAAACCAGAAACTTTTCAACAGAACTATTTACGATATAAATTTAAATACGTACGAACTCAATAAAACTAAAATATTGAACTGTCATTATAATAGTGGATTGATGATTGACTGTAGTGAATAATGAAGAGATGGAGAGTTGGGGTAATCAGTCAAAAATAAAATGACAAAAATAAATAATAATATTTATTTTAACATTTTCCGACGTTTCGGTTTGCTTTCTATCAACAGCAATCCCTTCGATCAATAGCGAGCTGCCTAGGCCTGAACTTCGGGTCGGAACGTCGTTAAATGTTAAAATAAATATTATTATCTATTTTTGCCAGTTTATTTTTGACTGATCACCCCAACTATCCTTCTCTTCATTGTCATTATAATAAAAGAAAAAAAACTGAATAATTTTACCTCAAAGTCAAAATAATACACCTCACTTCCTATAAACTTTTAAATACTGTTAATTTAATTCAATATCTTGTAGGCAAGCCATTATTTTCTCCAACTCCTTTCAGTCTGTTTGTAATGGAGTCGAAATTTTTTTCAGTGATTCGGGATTTACCCTGTTCCATTCTTGGAGCAGACACTTTTTAAAGTTTTCTTTGCTAGAAATTTCGCCTATTGTAATTTCTATCTCCAATTTTGTCCACAAGTGTTCTCTCACATTAAAACCTGTTGACCGTGCTGGAGTTTTCATAACATTGGGGCACTTATAAAGTAGCCAATTCTTAGATAATACGACAGAGAGTTTATGGTCATTGTCCTGATAAAACTAAATTTGTTTTTCATTCTCAGATTTTTCGCTATTTCATTCAAGTTTCTTCAGTGCAACCAGCATTTGCATTTATTAGTTTGCTATAAGAAATAAAATAAATCTAAACTTTATGGTAGGTAAAAAATCATGTATCAGTATTCCTGGCTGAATTACTTATTTTAATTTATTTAATATAACTTAATTATTATTATTTCACTAGACATAGAATACCATTATATAATATAAATGTTCTCAGATGCTGAAGACGAGAGAAAATTTTGGACGAAAGGGGAGGTGGAGAATCGATCCACCTACTGGGTAGGGCCTACCAGCAATCAGCCCCCCTCAGCGCCTGCCCGCTTTTAATTATATCACGGTTCGGGTTACGTCAAATTAAATTGTTAATTAACTTACATATAATTAAATCTCCGTCTGGATTCACAAAGTGTTTATTCAATTAACTACTGGGCTGCTGCCGAATATTTCGTCTATATCTTTTTTTTTTTTTTTTTCTTTTTCTATTTCTTCACCACATCTGTCATAAGCAATGACAATTAACTGCTGTCGGTAAGAGTACAGATAGTGGCTTGATCGGCGTGATGGAGAGGAGTTCCCAACGACATCTCTTTCTTAGCGTCATTTTAAGCGAGTAAATCCCTCACCCAGGTTCTTTTGAACCTCCGAAGTGAGTTAATATGTCCATGTAAGTTATTGTGGAATCGTTTGTAGTGTGTCCGTATGTGGTCGTTAACTGTTGGCATTTGAAAGTATTTATGTAAAGCAATGTTCGTCATGTACCTTGGAGCTTTAGTTATGGTCCTGAAAGTTTTAAACAGAAAGGTTTGTAGTTTTCGTATATGTATCGTTTTGGCTGTCCCGTAAATTTGTGAAGCGTAGGTCCCTGTGGGCTTAAGTAGATAATTGTAAGTGTTCAGTTTTAGTTTTAGGTTTAATTTCGAGCGTCTTGGGAGAAGTGAGTATAATAGTACATTTAATTCCTATCGTGATGATAATTACAGAGAGAATATAGTATAATAATATTAACCTTTATTAAAGAAAATTAGGTGTAGTAGGATTTGAAACCTCTAAATTGGCGTAGGCTTACATTGAGAAAATAAGGAGGTGGATATAAATAATTCTTTTTACAAAATTTGTTTGATTTCAGAGCTGGATTATTTAAACTAAAATAAAAAAGAGAAGTTTATTTCTATGACCAAAATCTTGACTAGTGAACTTAAAAGGATTTATAGAATAATAAACCAAAGTGAATTAACACGTTCTTAATACCTCTTGGAATTTTCAATTTCATAAATGATTAGAAATATAATACGTAACAAACGGATTGCATATTTTTATATCTTTGTTATATTGATTAATTTGTTTTTATTTAAGTAATAAAATAATTGTACAGTATATTACTGTACCACATATGATTTCGTAGTTTTTTCTTCTATTTTGTTTAATGAAATAATATCAATACATGGATAAGTTAAAAAACATATTTTTTAAAAGAAAACAGATTAAAAAAATATAGTTTCCACCCAAACAATTACAAATGACTGTAGGCTATACCACGAGTTCAGAAATGAACATGCCCACTTGGAACAATCCATTCTCCGATACATCCATCCTCTCAGATCCTAATCCACAAGTTCACACGAAAAAATGGCTTCTCCCTCGCAAGTATTTGCGACTTCCAAACGTTTTTGCATAATACTTATTAATGTATCACTAGGATTACTTAATATTTAATTATTTAAGTTACGAAAATTAATAGAATTAAGTTGAATATATGTACATGGGTGTGTTTTTAGCTCCAAACAAAAATAGGAACAGTAAAACATAAAAAATTATTCGGCATCCATTAGCACTGCTTAACTTCACTGCTGACACTAATGACCAAAATGCACTAGCGATATATGCACTATTGAGCCTAGTCCCGAGGCTTTTATCTTAAGTGTACACAGCATACGAAATGGGAAAAAGCGTTCAAACGTGATTGACGATAAAAATTTGCAAGTATATAGGGGAAAACTCTTTATTATTTACATCTGAACAAACATGACTAAAGCAAAACGCCAAATTGCTGTAAATGTAAAAGAAAACAAGATATGATATTAAGCCATTGTTAATTGTGAAGAAAGCGATTGAAGTTCAGCCATCCCCTGGGAAGGTAAATAGATCTTTCTAACGGCAGTGAAGATAATTGGGTGAGCTAAGCTGGGTTAGGATCAAAGTCTTAGCTTACGTTATACATTTATGTTTTCATTTATCGCATCATCGCTTAGCAACTCTTAAATATTTCATCGTATAATAATAAAATAGTTGCAGAACTCGGACATTTTTTTTTAATTTAACTTTTCTATCATTGTTTTTAGGTTATCCTTGACCTAAATAAGATCACACCCTTCTCTATCTAATGCTTGTTCATCCACTGAGTCTTTCCGTTTTACTTTTGGTATTTCTTTATTCATTCTCTTTTTTTTACTTCAAGTTCCATACATAACTTTGGTAATCTTCCAGGTATCATTCTTTTAATATGTCCAAACCAGCATAATCTTATATTTTTAATATTCGCTTTTGTGACCTTACTTCCCTATAATTATTGTTCAAGTGACAGAATATTATTTTACTAAATAATTTGTAGTCCAGAATGCTTTCATTTTTAATTCGTCAACTTCTATTTTCTAGCTGCCGTTCTCCAAATATCCATCTCTACTGATAACAGTATTTTCCGGGGTATTGCGTTGATGACCCACGTCTCCGAGGCATTCATCGTTATTGGCTCGAATACAGTCTTGTATATTAGCCTCGTTGTAGTAGGCAAATATTCGAGCTCCAAGAATACCGTTGAGAACTGCCTTGACATTTCTTTCTTCACCGATTCTCCTATCAATATCATTGGTTGATGGGCCTCTTCTATTGAATATCGATACTAGATGTTTTTAATTTCTCTCCTATTTGTATACCTCTTTTAATGAATTATTTTTAAACAAACACGTGAGAAAGATATTATTTTCAAAAAAGTAATTTAATTCACTTTTTCTTATATTTTAGAGTTGAGTCGTTTATTTGTAAAGTGGATCCTAATCATTTCTAACAACTTTTCATGAAACGTGAAAACTATATATTTTTTTTTTCTATTCCAATTGTAATATCAAAAACAATATTTTTTTAATAAAAACTAATAGATTATTATTTATAGAGCATATTCTTGAAAACCACTGATCATTCAAATAGTATTTACAAAATATTGACACTTAAATAGGGTCCTTTTTGGAACGAATCAAACTTAAAGGTCCATTTTCAAACAAAAAAAAGGTTGATTGGGATTTTTGTTGGTCGATATAAAAAAATGTGTATGATAGGGGGAGGGGAGGTAAAGTTATAAAAATTATACTATAAAAATTAAGATTTTTTTTATAATGATTGCATAATAAAATGAATTTATTTTTAATTTTCATTTAAATAAATAGGTTCATAAAGCTTTTGATAATTTGTTTTAAAAGAATGCTTAAGAAATGCAACTTTTATTATACTATACGAAAAAAAATTGCACCACCGAATTCATTATTATTTACTTGGTGATAAACACTTATATTAATTTCCATTAAAATTTATTAGAGTTCACATTGGAAATATGCTACCCTATTAGTAACCAGTGTTTTTGTAATGATAATAAATATAGTTTTTTTATGAGAAATATGTTCATATTTAATTGTTAATATTCTAAAAAAAAAAATCTTAGGCTTCGATTTAATGTTAATCCTCTCCTCACAAAGATTAAAAACATCAAAAATAAATATTGGTTATCTATGCTATACAGGGGTTTGTTTGTTATTTATATAATACAGTTTTACCATTTTCAAACTACAAAAACCCACACTTGACCGGTGAAACTAAATGTTGAAAGAAATAAAATATATACGATATAGTTCTTGTAAAAAAATCAAATCTATTATAAATTTTGAATATGGATTGTGAGTTGACTTGGTTTTTTTTCTTAATGATATTTACAACTGTATTAAAGTAATAAATTTAGTAAATTTGAATATATGGATATAATGACGTGAAAACACTTTTTGAGAAACTATCCAATGGTACTAATCTAATAACATGTCTACATTAGGAGATCACGGGGCCATCTTCTTTTTAGATGCCTCAGAGGATTATCAGGAATTAAAGAAGAAGCAAGGTTAGAAACGAGAGGGTCGGAATGATTCTGAAGTATATTATGGAAGGATGGGTATCTGGATTGGGCCAGATCTGAAACATTAAGGTCATTATTGATGGTTGTAACAATGTAGGGAGCATTGAGGATTTTACGAAGGATTTTGGATTTTAAGGATTAGATACGAGAGAAATTTGATGGTTTAGTGGAGCCCCGTAGCTCAACTCCGTCTTGATTTAATCTAATTTTTCAGAACGAGTTTCATTTTTCATTGTGGCCAATGGTTTTGACCGTTCAGTGAGGCTTATTCGTATAGCCAATTTTATAAACTTCGAAATTATAAACAACATTAATAAAAGTATAATTTTTTTTTTTTACTCAAGGACACTTCAAGACACCAGGAAATGAGACAGCGGGTAAAGCTGCTAAAGAAACTGCTCATATGAATATCCCACCTCTCTAAATATACGAGCCGAGTGATGTAAAAACATTACTAAAAGACGGAAAAATTGGTATTCCATGTGGAATGAATAAGGGTCGTGGTGAATCGTTAAAAAATTAATTATTATGTTAAAATAAACAAGTATATTAACAAAAAATACTACCTCAAAAAATTCGATTAAAACAACAATGTTTCAAACTGGTCGGAGAAGATTCTTAGTTTTCTCACCTTCCAAGTTTTCCACGGAAGGGGGGAGGGTTGTAAGAGAGAGTTACCAAGGAAAATCACTGGACCGGAAAAGGAGTGATCAAGGAAGTGACAGGAAAAGGTAGCAAACGGCGAACGATCAGGACAAACAGTTTAATTAAACTTTAATGAAGTTGGCGCCATTTTATCTTTTTTTTTGTATAGAAGAGTTTATTTTCCTGAGTTCACCCGAGTTTTTTTTTTAATTATAACAGAACAGAAACTGAATAAACAGTAAAAGCAAATTATCTTATCGGAAAAATATCTCATCGGACAAGATTCTTCTCAATTTCGATTTTTTTTTTTTGTCGATGATTCAGGATGCTTTCAATTACTTATAGATTTAATGAACCAAGAATTATGTACTTCTTGAGTGATTCGCAAATAAAGTTCTAAATTGATTGATTTTTTTTAGTCCTCTTTTTGGGGAAGTATGTTTCATGAATGAATTAAAACGGCTTTAAGTAGAAGACTTTATCCAAGTTTCATTAAAATCTTTACAGCCATTTCGGCGCTACAGTCTATAGTGACACACATTTTTCGTTCGTCATTTCGAATCGAAAGTATATGAAATATTAATGATATAAGGCTGTATAAAATGTATATAAAAACAAACTAATATTTTAATTTATATATACTGTTGTCAACGTTTTTTATTTATAACACTAAAGCTCGTCAATAGCTACAAAACAAAAACAAACAAGAAAATCCGTTGAGAAACAGAGGGAAAAAAGGTACTAAACTGTTTTGTCTTTGCCTATTTATATAATGATAAGTAAATACATACCAATATACATATTTTCAAGTTAATTCTATTAATTTTCTTATGTTCGTAATCTACATAATTAAATATTAATTTATTCTACCGCTGAGATAAAATGGCGTCTCGAGGCCGCAGGTTCCCCACTTACGATATATACTGAAATAAGTCAATCAATGTTACTGAGTCAAATATATAAACGAGGTAATTTGGTGTTTTAAATAGCCAACATAATGTCATATAAGACATGGACACCATTAAAATTCCCGAAAACAAGCTCTGGAGACTCAAAAGAAGCTGTATGAGGAATTCCCTAGCTTAAAAATATAATTAAATCAAGTCAGGGAGGAATGCCGCTGGGAACTCCTCTCTCTCTCACTCCGATCAAGCCTCTACCTGTATTTTTCCCGACAGCAGCCTCCCTAATTATCAGTACTTCTGACAGGTGTGGGTAGATAAATAAAGTTAATATGTATATTAAATATATAATATATGCATTACAGAATATAAGATCAATTTATCATAACTTTAAAAGAGTTTTTTTTTTTTATAAAAGATTTCATTCTTTTCTGTTTTAAATAGTATTTAGAATGTATTTTTATTTCATTAAACTTTCAGCGTTTCAATAAATTAAAAAAGCTTGTAGTGCTTTCAAGATGACTAAAAAGCTAGATATCCATAATAGTTCTTTTTGTTCCTTTATTATCATTACAATGTAGTTAGATAATTGTTATTTGATATCTTCTTAATCTCCTGTTATTTTCCCTTCCAACCTCCACTTGTTCACGGAAATAAGATAAGATTTGCTATAGTGAACAATTTTCACTGTTGCGTTTTACAGAACTCTCGGATTCGATAAATTAGTTCTGGTGGTACGTAAATGCTTTAACATTGTAAAAAGTTATATTATTTGTATTTTTCCTTTACAGCCCGTTAAGTGAGGTTCTTTGGTATGAATCAGCTAATTTTTATTACTGTATATGCTTTCTTAAATATACCATCTCGATAATACTCCTGCGTCAAGAATCAAAGAATCGATTAGAGCTATCGACATACAGCTGATGGAAGCAATGAACGAGGATTGGCCTGTCAGATCCCCATTTGCTGCTCGCTATCGGTCCCGAGTAGACGACCAATTAGACCTCTCTTTATATCGTCCTCTACTTTGTTGATAGTTATCGCTATTCCATTAGGATTTTTATAAGCGATGTTTTAGCTACTATGTTTTAGTTTTAAAGTTCATATATGGTTTATGAAGTCAAATGGATCATTAAAAAATAATAATTGCATGGTAAAACATTTTTTTTTTAGGTTACCATCTTACAAAAACCTCTATTAACCTACCTTTTGTTACAAACATCAAACTGTTATACACAATTTATTCTTTGATGATTAAAGAATATACAGTAAATAAATTGTTCCACCACTATAGGAGTCTTTAACATGCAGATTTTATTAACTGAACTTACCAAAAAAAAACAGTAAAAGATTTTTCTAGATCTAGATGAAATCATGGTTTATGCAAAATATACCGTACATTGAAATTGAAAATTCTTCTAAATGTGATAATATAATTAAAAAGAAATACTATAGCCTTTAACAATGAAATGTACTGCACATAGAAATCTAAGATCAAAA